ACCGAGAGCAAAATAAACAGCAGGAGTTCTGCAAATATTTTCTAATTTGGGCTAAGCATCATGATGTAATTCAACTATGATTCATACATTTTATGATATTAATGCTTTATAATGTCATATAATGTGTAATGGTTTTATACTCTTACAGTTTTGCTCAAATTAAATTATATTTTCTGTAAAAAGTATAATCTTTTAAATTCTAACCATATGAATCATGATTATAGTTTGTTATTTGACTGCTTTGATAATTATAACAAATTACAAAGAAGAGACAGGATTCTGTTGCCCTCTTGTGGTAATTTTGCTGTAGTGTCTTCTCTAGGAATTCCGCCTCAATTTTTTCTTTTCCCTTTAACAGAGTGGTATTTTGACCACAGTTTCTGAATTTCCAAAAGCAGTATATATACTCTCTGCCCTCTCCAGTGCACATACTTAATGCCCTCCCTTCAGTTTCTACATCAGTAGTCTTTCCCTCACTTTTAAGAAACATTCTCTTGTTTCCTTCCAATTACTACACCAAGGAGATTTTTCCTAAAGTTACTTTCTATAGTCTAATGCACATACAAAATAATTTCAGCAAATCTCCACCTCATTGATAAGCTTCAAGTAAATGGAAAATAACTAAAAAAGTAGGGGGCTAGGCTGTTGGCATTTTCCCCCAAGAGAATAAGTCTTGCTAAATCAGTTAACAGTCCAGAAATTTCAGAAGCTAATGATAGAAGTCTAAATATTTTAAGTTTTTGAAAGTGATGTCTTTAAAACAGTCTAGATCATATGCAAAGGATTATCTCTTGCCCCCAAAACAAAAAAATTTAGCTTTTTTGCAAAATTAGTAACACATAATGGTAATTCAAAACTATTCAATATGACACTATGAAATAATTTTAACTATAATTAGTATTTTTCTAAAGATAATTTATTAATCATAAAATTATTTACTGTCTAATATATTTAACACTATGGAAAATGTAAAACAAAAGATGGATTCCTAAATTAACTAAAAATCCACTCTTACAACTGCAAAAATATTCTTAAATATTAATAAATGATCAATCCTTAAAGAAATTTCTAAAATATATATATATATATTTAAAAGTAGTCCCTTGTGTATTCAATCAACATTTATCCCAACACTGATGAGGAAAGGCTAGATTTCTATAGCGGTCAAGGTAAAAAAACAAAAACCAAAAACCAAAAAAACACATTCTATGAAGAAGGACCTGAACATTCTAAAGCAAGGTAACATGGCATGTCTCAGCAACTTAAGATGCTTTAGTAAGACTATGGCACAGATTATAATTTGGAAGCAGTGGGAGATGACCACTGAGAAGTTAGTGGGAGCCAGACTGAAAACGGACTTCAATGATAAGCTAAGGAATGGGGCAATACAGTAAAGCATCTGCAACAGGAGAGTGAAGTGGGCAAATCAGAGATTTAGAAAGTTACTTGCTGCAGTATGAAGGACAGATTGATGGGGGTGAGAAGGAGACAAGGAAATTACTTAGAAGTTGTTTGCAATGACAAAGGCCTGAACCAAGGCAATGGCTCTGACCACAGAGAGAAGAAAAGAAACTTGAGAAATACTCAGAAGTGAAATCATTAGGTGTTAGTTACTATGAGAACATGGGGATAGAGGTGGGAGATTCTCAAGCTTACACTGGAGCTTTGGTGACTGGGTGGATGTACCATTCCCAGAGATAGGTAATAATACTTTTGGACATGCTGCATTTGAGGTACCACAAGTAGGTCAACAATTTTGAGGCTATGGAGTTCAGGACAGAGAGGACTCTAAATTATCAGTGGCTAGGTTGTAAAAGGAATCTGGATGACAGATCATTTAGAGAGCATAAAGAGTGCAAAGAGATGAAGGCTGAGGATGGGACTGGAAACCCTTAAGTATATAGTCCCATCTTCTTGTTAAGAGATGTCCTTTAGTCCTATAACCATCACCTTTATTCATGTTGGGAGAAAACAGGAGATTATTTAGTCTGTCTTTATTTTCCAAATCAGAAAATGGAGGGTCAAAGAGGTTAAGTGACTTTACTTAAAGCTATTTATCTGTGGAAGTGAATGAAAACTCAGGTTTCCAGATTGAGACCAAATTATTGCACCTTACTATTCAAATGTTCTCTTTCTATAACAAAATGAGGGATAAAAACCATAGGATCATCTCATTAGACGCAGAAAAAGCATTTGACAAAATTCAACATCTGTTCATGATAAAAACTCTCAACAAAGTATGTTTATAGGGAACATACAACATAATAAAGGCTATATATGACAAACCCACAGCTAACATCATATTCAGTGATGAAAAGCTGACAGCTTTTTCTCTAAGATCAAGAACAAGACAAGAATGTCCACTCTCATCACTTTGATTCAATATAGTACATAGTCCTAGTCACAGCAATTACACAAGAAAAAGAGATAAAAGGCATCCAAATTGGTAAGGAAGAAGTAAAACTGTCACTATTTGCAGATGACATGATAGTATATATAGAAAGCCCTAAAGACTCTACCAAAAAGCTCTTAGAACTAATAAATTTAGTTAAGTTGCAGGGTACAAAATCAATGCACAAAAATATGTTGCATTTTTGTACATTAATGAACTACCAGAAAGAGAAATAAAGAAAACAATCCCATTTATAACTGCACCAAAAATAATAAAATACCTAGGAATAAACTTAACCAAGGAGGTGAAAGACCTGTACTCTGAAAACTTATAAAACACTAATGAAAGAAATTAAAGACAACACAAACAAATGGAAAGGCATTCCATGCTCCTGGACTGGAAGAAATAATATTGTTAAAATATCCATACTACCCAAAGCAATTAATAGATTCCATGCAATCCTTATTAAAATACCAATAGCATTTTTCACAAAACTAGAACAGACAATCCTAAAATTTGTATGGAACCACAATAGATCCTGAATAGACAAAGCAATGTTGAGAAAAAAGAATAAAGGTGGAGGTATCACAGTCCCAGATTTCAAACTATACTACAAAGCTACAGTAATCAAAACACTGTGGTACTGGCACAAACACAGAAACATAGACCAACAGAACAAGATACAGAGCCCAGAAATAAACCCATGCTTATATGGTCAATTACTCTATGACAGAGGAGGCAAGAACATTACAATAGGGGAAAAGATAGTCTCTTCAATAAACATTCCTGGGAAAACTGGACAATTAAATGCAAAAGAATGAAATGGGACCACTTTCTTATACCATACATAAAAATAAACTAAAAATGAATTAAAGGCCTAACTCTGAGACCTGAAACCATAATAAAACTCCTTAAAAAATATAGGTGGTAATTGCTTTGACATTGGCCTTAGCAACATTTTTCTAAATATGTCTTCTCAGGCAAGAGTAACAAAAGCAAAAATAAATTATTGGGACTACAGCAAAATCAAGGAAGAAAATCATTAACAAAATGAAAAGGCAACCTATTGAATGGGAGAAGATATTTGCGAATGATATATCTTATAAGGGGTTAAGGTCCAAAATATAAAGAACTTATACAAGGCAACACCAAAAAACCCCAAATAATCTGATTAAAAATGGGCAAAGGACCTGAATAAACATTTTTCCAAGGAAGACATACAGATGCCAAAAGACACATGAAAAGATGCTCAACATCACTAATCATCAGGCAAATGCAAATGAAAACCACAATTAGATATCACCTTCTACCTGTCAGAATGGCTAAAATAAAAAAGACAAGAAATAACAAGTGTTGGCAAGGATGTGGAGAAAAGGAAACTCTTGTGTACTATTTGTAGGACTAGAATTTGGTGCAACTACTGTGGAAAACAGTATGGAAATTCCTCAAAAACTTAAAAATAGAAATATCGTAGGATCCAGTAATTCCACTATTGGGTACTTACCCAAAGAAAACAGAAATATTAATTCAACAAAATATATGCAATCCCTATGTTTACTGTAGCATTATTTACAACAGCCAAGACAGGGAAGCAATCTAAGTGTCCATCAACAGATGAATGGATAGAGATGTGGTATAAATATACAATGGACTATTAGCCATAACAAAGGATGAGATCATGCCTTTGGTGACAATATGGATGGACCTAGAGGGTATTATGCTATGTAAAATAAATCAGAGAAAGACAAATACCATATGATTTCATTTATATGTGGGATCTAAAAAACAAAGCAAATAAACAAACAAATAAAACAGAGTCATAAATATAGAGAACTAAGTGGTGGCTGCCAGAGGGTAAGGGGCTAGTGGGATGGGTAAAATAGGTCAAAGGGATTGAGGGGTACAAACTTCCAGTTATAAATTAAGTAATTCACAGGGATGAAAAGTACAGCAAAGGGAATATATAGTCAATAATATAATAATGTTGTATGGTGACAAGTGGTAACTACATTTATTATGGTGAGCACAGCATAATGTACAAAACTGTCAAGACACTATGCTGTATAGCTGAAACTAATATTATATGTCAACTATACTCAAATAAAATAAAACAAAAATAAAACAACTAAAATAAAATATGTTCTCTTTCTGTTACTGAAAACTTCTTCCACCTCCGTCTCATAAATCTTCAGCAGACAAGAAGTCAAAGATTTTTTCTTCACTAACTGATAAAAACAAATGCTTCTATTGTTGTTATTTTGTATGTATCATCAAAACTACAATGTCGGATTTTCAAGGTTAACCTCCCAATGATATAGTTATTTAATAAGATCCCAAGTTTACAATCCACACATTTCTTGAGTAATTTGGGAAACAAAGAAATTCCCAATTCTATAATTATGAATAGCAAAGGGCAACTGTATCAAACACACACAGAATGTTTATGAAATACTTCAGAGGAAAATAGCTATAGCTATTCCTTGCAGACCTTTTTAAAGCTTAGATGGTTGAGAATGGGTTTCATCAGTGAATTCTATCATACATCCTGGAAGACATTTTCATAATTATACGTAAGAAAAACATAAAGCAAGAGATTTCTTTGGCATACCTGCTTGGTTTGGCTGTGGCCAACTTGGTGACTTGACAATGTTGGTGGATCCTGGAGGCTTGAAGGCGGCAGCAGTTGTGAGACCAGTCACCCCTGGTCTGGTGGAGGCTGGGCTCTCCTGCCTCTCAGGCATGCTCCGTGCTGAAGCTACTGATGGAGCCAACTGCTGAGAAGTGTCCTGGGTGTTGCTAGAAAGAAAATAAGGGAACATTTTTGGTGAAGTGATAGCAAACTAACTTAGCAATGATCCTTTCTTTTCTCAATCTATTAAATCTCTAAGGAAAAGAAAAATACTAATTAACCAATATTTTAAAAAAGAAAAACTCGAAAACTATGACTGAGGGACTGTCTCTCTTTGAAATGAACAAACAAAAAACAAAAAAAGAAAGGAAAGGAAAGAAGATTACATTTGTTCAGTACTTTGGAAATTTCTTTAAAAGGTCTATCATGAGAAATTAGGCTACTGAAACACTGTTACAGCCACTCCTTTCGAATAATAAGCTAATTTCCTCTTCCTATTCTCTATCTCAACATTTCAGAAAAATCATCTAGATTAAAGCAACTAATTATTAGAGAATTCCTGATAATCTCTATGATATGGCACAGATTTTTTGTCCCCTTCTTTCTCACATTCTTCTGGTATTTTATGAACTAAGTTTCCCTGACATCTTACCACTCTTTTCACTCAATACTCAGTCACTCATTCATTGAACAAATATTTAAGCACCTACTACATGCCAGACATCATGCTATGTACTGGCCACAGAATGGTAAACAAGAGACAACATCCCCAGCTTAATAGAACATCCAGTGTTCTATGTTCACAATACAGGAAAACAAGAGACAAGACTGCCATTGTCTTCACTCAACCAGAGTTACTTTACTTGCTTAACAGGAGGCCTTATCTGTGCTGGTTCCAGTTTGATTTGGAAGATCATATGGCTTTTCATTACCCTGTCTTTATTATTTATAATTATATGTTGTCATTTCAAAAAAATTAATTTTAGGTAGCTCGTTATAAAATATGCACTTTGGAATGACATAATACTATAGCAGTTTCTCTCAAGTTATTGTAACAATAGTAAGAAGAATACATCCTATAACTTCTGAACAGAAATCAAGATATTGCTTGCTTAAATAATTCCATGCACAGAAACTCAAGTCCTTCAATAACTGAAAACAATGGCTGGAGGAGTAGTTCAATATGGACAGACTACTAATTTAATGACCAGTAAAATAAATGTCCCTTAATTATACGGTTTAGGTTGAGATTATTTCAATGAAAAGAAATTTCAAATTCAATCATGTCCATTATACTGCCAAATTAATAAGAGTACCTAATTTCTCCAATGCTCTTGAATCTGGGATGAACACCTAACAAAGGAGGCCTAAGGGTGCCTAGTCTTAGGAAGGCCTGTTTGCAAGGTTGGCCTCTAAATGGCATTTGAGAAGCTGGCTGATAAACAGTTCCCTACAGTCATATAAAACTTTCTCTAAAAGGTAAGAGTAGCTCACTGTGCCTAAGCTATAAAAACAATGTGGTTTATGCTAAATACCTACTTTCCTTCTGTGAGACTGGACTTACAGTATGAACTAGGCACAGCGTGAGAACATAAGGAGCCCCAATAAAAACCTTAAGTACTTAGTATCTAATGAGCTTCTCTGGTAGACAACACTTTACATGTTTTATCATAACTCACTGCTGTACGGGGGCACCTGGATGTCTCAGTCGTTAAGTGTCTGCCTTCGGCTCAGGTCATGATCCCGGGGTCCTGGGATGGAGTCCCGCATCGGGCTCCCTGCTCAGCAGGAAGCCTGCTTCTCCCTCTCCCACTCCCCCTGCTTGTGTTCCTGCTCTCGCTATCTCTCTCTCTCTGTCAAATAAATAAATAAAATCTTAAAAAAAAAAACAAAAAAACTCACTGCTGTATGAATCAACATATCCTGTGTGACTTCATTGAGAAAGGACTTTTGGAAACTTGAGCCTCTTTTCTTCTGGACTTGATCCATGTACCCTTTCCCTTGTTGATTTTGCTTTGTATTCTCACACTATAATAAATCTTAGTCATGAGTACAACTGTATACTCAGTTCTATAAATCCTCTAGTGAGGGGGTGGTCCTAGGGCACCTCTGACACTAAACAGTTTTGAAAAATCATATTAGAGCTATTTTAATGTTCTTGAAATATTGTTCCTTATTATTGTTCTCTCAAATTCAAATGTAACAGAGCCATCACCTTCTTTTATCATTTCTAATCAGTTTCATGAAAAACTGAAATCCACTTGATATTAAAACATACAATATAATGAAAAATTTAAGCATTTTAATAATTTTTTTAAATAAAAAGTAAAAGACTACTTATTTAATGGCAATGCTGAACACACTATTATCAATAAAGATGACACAATAAAGAATATTAATGGAAATAGAGATTAAGCTTTATAGTAGAATGGTTATGAGTACCTTTTTAAAAGTTTTGTTGATGAACAAATTATTTTACCTCTCTAAGTCTCATTTACCTAAACTTTAAATGGGGATAATACTTTGCTCTCATAAGAGTTCCATGAGGCTTAAGTAAGATAATTATGTACAAAATACTTAGCATACTCTAAGGCAGAGAATATGAGCTTAAACATATGAAAAGGATAATTAATATATTCAAATGATAAAAGACTTATTTTCAATATTCTTATACATTATAAATACATGATTTTTTAAAACAATACAGAAGTACAGGTCACTTTAATTCTAAGGTTAATTTTGGGGTTCATGTGGGTTTGAAAAAAATTATAATCCATATATTCACAGTTCTGAGAAGAAAATTTATGACCAAGCAATACTAGAAGTTACAGATGAAACAAAAATATAATCTGGAAATAACAAAACCCAAATCATCATTTAATGTTTAATAACCTGAATGAGTTAAAATTTAACTCCAGGAGAGCTGCCAGACAGACTTACGTAGACCAGGATGATAGAAAATTAATGCCAAGCCTAGTGAAGTTTGGTTGAAGGAACTAGTTACATTGGCCTAGGGTATGAAAAAAACCTCAGGAGAAGCCTAAGAGCAATCCTCAAATATGTGACATGTGGATTCACTCTACATGGCTACATTCTGTTTGCCTAATGTAGTGTCAAGTCTATGGTGAGATAGATTTGGTTCAATAAAAGGAGGTACTTCCTAATGTGAAAAATTGTCCAAAGGAAGTGTTCTGTTTCCTAACAATACCTTTAGTGAGAGGCCTGTCTCCAAAGGGTATTCAAGTAGATGTTGGAGAGGCTGCAGAGCCGATTTAACCATCAGAGGGTGGAGGGCTAAGTTATAAGTTATGCTTCAGCATGACATTCAAAACCTTCTAAGATATATCTACAGTCTACCTGTCCAGTCATTATCTCCTATAACTTTGTGATACAAACTATATGCTGGCCATGCCTTGTCTCTGTCCACACTCCATTTTTTTTCAGGCTCTACACAGAAGGCACCTCCCCTACTCTCCCTCTGCACACATCCAAGTACGATTGTTATAATTAACAACAGTAGTAAAAATAATATCTAGCATGCACAGTGTACCATACTAAACAATTAATATATTTAATTAATCTTCTAGAAGTAGAGACACTCCTTCCCTCAGTTCATGACACATATTAACTGCATCACGTATAGTTAACATTTCAATTTGTAATACCCAGGGTTTAAAAAAAAAAAATAACAGTAACTTCTTTATGTATCTTGTCTCCTGCACTACATTATAAACTGAGGCTGGGGACTTTAGTGTGACTTTGGGTAAGTTACCCGAAGTTGATAATGTTTCTTCATCTGTAAAATCAGATGAAAATACTACTTTTATCCAAGGTTATTGTTAGGATTAAATGAAACACAATGAGATAATACATGTAATACAAGTAAAGTACTTGGCTCCATGCTAAGCACAGAGGGAAGAAAAAAAAAAAATCTGTCCACAGAGCTTTGAAAGGTCCCACATTCTCCCAAACAATGCAGAGTGTCTTCTTACACTTCAATTTTTACCTACGCAAATGTGCATTTTTATTGTATCCTTTGTACATGGTCTTTATATATTCTCTCCCAAAAGGCCTAAAATGTCTAAATCTTAAACAGTACTCTTTAGATACAAAGTGTGTGCAGTAGATTATAAAGACCTTATAAAATTCTAAATTATAAGCAAGAAAGTTGTTCCATTTATATTTAAATTCAGCACTGATAAGCAGAGTCCAACAGTCTCAGGAGAAACAGATCTCTATTTACTTAAAATATTTAATGTAGGAATGGAAGAATATTAGGTTTTATCGAGACAATCATATATCTAAATATATAACGCCTAGGTCTCTAGAAGAGCTAACGTCTTTTTGCCTAATTTTTAGTATTAGCTACTATTTAAAGAAAATACATAAGCAATAGGTATCACGTACTAAAGATTAAAGAATTAATAAAGTCATTGGCTATATTATTTTATATTTGGGAATAAAATGTTACAATAATCACTAACAGCAAAAATATTTTTAATTAATGACTAATATACTAACATAGTATGGCATGTTAACTTAAATTGGTATCTTATTTCCGAAATCATGCCTCATATATTTTTTCCAAATTTAAAATTTAAAAGGTCTCCTCAGGAAGCCCAGTGTTCCTGCTTTCCAGAATGCCAACTTGCTTACCCTGTCGGAAATCATTTCTCTTTCCCAAATACCAAAATATATTTAGTTTGTGCCTATTGCTGTTAATAAAAAGTGATAATGGCTACTAATATCTATTCTATAAGCAGGTCCATGGATAGCATCCATCAGTTCATAACTTCATGCACACTTTTTTTAAAACAAGAAGTTTATTTAAACATAAAATGTTTGATTTGAAAGGAAAACTCGACTCATTTCCTTCAGAGTAATTTCTCTCTACTTAAAGACAGATTGCTCTGCACGTAAGGGTTATGTACAAAAATGTTATAAAATTGTCCTTAGTTTCACAATGATAAATGAAAAGCATTAAAACTCTCCAGTCAAGCAAGGTTTGCAAGAATTTTAATGTTGCTCTTTTTTTATTAAACAGTGAGTGCAAAACAACTTCCTGGAATATAAAGATAAGAGCTGAATGAGCATGCCACTAATGGAGACAGGGTATTCTCACAAAACTGGTATTTTTCTCCACCCTATTTCCAATTTTCCCTATCCC